CCATGCATGTTTATGTACGTGTAATAAATTACATGTGTTGTTATCTTGTAAGAGGGCATACTCTGCATATTTGGTGTCTAAATTAGAAATTTCGTAGTTGAATTAGCTAAGCATGTGTATATCGCGTCTCAATAGTGAGACACGTTTTTAAAAACTGTACAAAATTTAAAAAACTGGAAAATTTTAATAGATGCATACATATATGGAAATGGTAAATATATGATATATCGTTACGTGTATCCGTTAATATGGCAAATTTTCATAAAAAATTTCAAATAACAAATTACGTGAAAGTTGATATGGCAGTTTTTTGTTAGTGTTAAAAAGGTACCGGTATAAATGTCACGAGTTCGATATTCTTTCAAATATGTTTTCATAGAAATATCATTTTCGTGTGAAAAGTGAACTTTCCTTTCCTCCTTTTTTTTTTCCTCGGGGAGAATGCGCGAAGTATGCCCTTGTCTGTAAAAGTTTTGAAAAACGTACGACCGTAATTATTATGTTTAATTATTACGATTAAGGCAATAGCCTTAAATTAATAGTCTTTGGGAACCGTAAAATTCTGTTTTGGCAGAAATTAACGTAAGCGTAGTTAATTAGCCTCAGTCTCATCATTTCGAGAGATGGTATGGTGTATGAGGACCGGACTTCAATCGGTTATCGACATTTGAAAATGCCCGCGTAACTTATCGATAAATCGATGATCGTGAACTCGTCCGATCCGATAAGTTTCACCTCGAACAAAATGTTTCACCTTTTGTTTCGCCATGCATTTCAAGAATAAAGCTTTAAAATTTTTAAATCGCTCGTTCATTCTTTAGAATTTTATTCTTAAAATTTTTTTATTAGCTCTCATGAAAGACAACCTTTACTCTGGCGGTAATCGGCTGTCGGTAAAAAAATTTTCTAGTTTTTTTTTTTTTTTTTTTTTTGTTTCGAAACGCAAGGAACACGAAAGATTAAACATTAAAATATCTACATATAATAGAATATTTCGCGAATGAAAACAACGTTAGTAATACTTAAAGCTATCTTTGTCGTTAATCGATAATTGTGTCGATCATTGTATATCGATAAATTGTTCAGCCTCTAAATATGATGCGTACATGTATGTACATTTTTTAAATTACTCTTTCATCAATCACACTTCTCAATCTCTCAGTGGATCGAAACTGCGCGCTTTGACGCGAATAGAATCCTCAAATTATTTTCTCAACATAATTAATCAAACGGAATGTCGAAATGCACAGTTTGTGCTTTCTTAATGCCGATAATTAGGAATGTTGTTGCAATTTTAGCACTCTGCGGTGAGCTTTTAGTGAGCTTCGTTTTTTCCTGTTATTTTTCTTTTTTTGAAACATCGTTATGTTATTATATTTTTGTATTTTCATTAATATAAGCGATAGTAATTTTATAAAAGATATTTGTTTGAAAAGAAACGAATACAAAGCTTAAATTCGCGTTGAAATTTAGTGTTGAAATTAGAAATTGCATTTTTTCTTGTTTAACCCCTCATTATATCGACAATTATAAATTGTACTTAATTATTGTGTCAGATTTGTAACGAAAACAGGGATCATATAAAAAAGATATAATTTTTCATTACATATTAAAACTATCTTATTAATACTACAACGACTGGCTATCTTGTAATAATAATTTCGATAATTTTGCTACATATAAACGAATGATAAATAACTACGAATTTGTAAAAAATAAATATAGAAATATAGAAACTAAATATAGAAATAAATAAGTATAAATGTACACATAATATAATAACTTATAATTCGTTAGTGGTCACTAAACATTGAAAATGACACCATAGTAATATCACATCAGTCATTATAGTGCTAATTAATTGAGGAGTTGTATTTTTTTATTATACTGGACATATCCCAAAAATAATTCTTTACTTGAATCTTTAGGAAGTTTCATAGATTGAAATTTACATCTGAGAACTTAACAAGTTATTCAAAATTAAAAAATTAATAAAAAATAAAACTTGTCATGTTCTTTTCGCGTGCTCTTTAGATAAAACATAAGTACGAATTCTTTCAAATGTTCTTCGTTTAAATAACCATATGTTAGCTAGCATAAAACGTTTGAACGATGTTTCTCACTGGTAGAAATAAACGATTCTCAACACTTCGTTCTTATCATGCTTCTTCAACTATACAATCCTTGGTAACAGTGTAACTAATGGTACGTACAATCTATACTATACAATAGTTATACGATTATACACATGTGTAATTCATCATTCCGCCTCTAAATTGACTTGTTTCCTCTGTTGGTGTCTTTCTCCTTGTTAATCGTTATTGCAGAATTTTCTCTATAAATTGCATGACTCTCAAACGATGTACAGTGATAAAAATTTGGATTCTAGGTAGACAAAATTATTCTATAGTAAATTAACTCCTTGATATTTAATGATTATGTATAAATTAATTGCGAAGTAATTTCATTGTTAAAAGATATATTGTTTTATTGGGGAAAGAGTTGGAAATGAAATGATTTTATTTTTGAAAAAGCAAAAAAATGTAGAAGCTAAATCAATTGTAAACTACGTTCTAACGAAACTACAGATCAATTGATCAGTAACTGTATATTAATGTACTTCCTCTAAAATTAAATTAATTTTCTAATAACTAAGGAATACTTTTACTTTTGTCTACTTAAAATTAGAATTTTCATCACGTGTGCTTGGTTTCTCAAAAGATGAAGTTCTAACGTACAGCTAAGGATTTCTGTCGATACTTTCACGTAGTATAATATTCTTGTTCCTGTCGTTTCGTGATTGGTCGATTGGTAAGATTGCTAATAACGCAACGGCAGTATTCGATGCAACGACGAAGCGATCATTCAGACAGTTTGTCAGATAATTTTAACAGAGAAAATCCACTGAGAAAAATGCTTAAAAATGTAGAAAAATTATTACATAGCTTTATCGACAGAAAATTATTAAATATATTAGATGTTATGCTAACATTAAGTCGAATGGACATCGTTTTCGATATGTTAAACGCTTTTCTCAGTGTTCCAACGTGAGCAAAAAAGAATTTTCTTTTCTCTTTCTTTTCATTACGATGAAAATCCCTAATTAACCTGATTCCCACAGAAGTTATTCTCATTACGATATTAGTCGCTTATCGAAAATTATCATTATCCTCATTATACGTTGACGTTCTGCGAATCGGTTAGATAGTCAATTAGCTTCCAGAGGATTCATCACGTTCTCGTTTATTTCGTTTCATGAAGATTATCGCTAGAATTGCTAAATCCCGATCATACATGTATAGTGAACTCTTGCCTTTCTTGTTCCTTCCTTTGCTGGTACCTGGAACGAAGTTTTGTGATGATGTTTTTAGTCGTGCCTTAAATTTAGATAAATCAAGAAATACTGATCTAACTTGGCAATGCTAAAAAAGCTTTGTGTA